TTGCCAAACAAAAGAAGGCTGCCCCAACTACGTCAACGAGGTCCAACCGTTCAAAAAAGAAATGATGATTTTTGATTACGTTTTGAACACGGTTGAGGAAAACAACAAAGAATTACAAATTGAAGATTTTACAAGTTTGGAAAAGAAGGGACAAGAATCAAATTGGTACTACATTCTATTTTACCACTTTCTTAGTATTCTCATTTGTAATATCATCACACAGTATGTTATAAACTCTGTGATGATCATTGAATATTTGGTTCGTTCAAGTTCTTATTTTTTACATGCTTGCTAGTAGGTGAGGCCTTTTCTTTGCCTCAATAGGATTAGTAAGGTAAGGTTTAGTCCGAGTTGTGTTGCCTTAGTCTTATGCTTTTGGAAATTATCCACACGGCTATGAGATTATATGCCCTCGTGAGACGTTGCCGGCAGCTACACCATGAATCCTCTACATGAGGTCGTCATCATAAGGCAATGTGAGGCGCAGAGGAGTAATTATATAGCCAAGGCATATGGGTAACACTAACGGTGCTATTGTCCCCCTTATTTATGCTTTTCCTAATTGTTGTATTTTTCTTTTTTCTTTTATTAATAAAAAACTAGCCCTAGGCGCTTGCCTAGCGGATTGCCAAAAAAAAAAGAATCTCCATCAACCATGCAGCTAAAGCTTTCAAGCTATAAAATTATAAGAATGTACCGACTGCTGGACAATTCATAACCCATCAAATGACGAAAAATTCTACTTTTGAATCTTCTTCTTCTTTCCGTTTATTTTTAAATCATATGCAATGCCCATCTAAGGCGTATGGGAGGGTGGTAACTGGTAAGGAGTGAAAAAATTACAACAATATTACACATGTCGAAAGACCTATGGACATTGAATGTTACACGACGATCCAAATTGAGATTTGTAGCGGCTGAGGAAAAAAATCATATATCTATCAACACCACTTGCAGTGCGTTAAATTCACAAACCTGGCTAGCTCATAAAATATAGGCTTCCCGAAAAAAACTCTGATTTCATAGCAAAACTTGCTGTCTCAGAAACCTGAATGGTTCAGAACAACCGCGGGCATCAAAAAAATATGTGACATCTCCTTCACCAGCTGTGTTACAATTAGACATTGAACCGAAACAGCATTATATCCCCTTCTTGCACAACATAATCTTTCCCCTCTAACCTCAACTGCATACACAGATAAACCTTGTAACCAGCTTGATCTATTCTTTTGCTTGCATGGGTCGGTAGGCACAAAAAAGCACTATTTATATTCTGGTACACAAGTAATTATCATTGTGAAAAGAAAAAAAACTACATACTAATAATTACATGAGACTTAGCAACCTCTTTACAACTTGGGGGTAGGGGAGGCAATTAACATCTTAATTTTGAAGTGCTGGAGCCAAAGTAAGAAGTTCAGGTAACAACTATCAAATATCCAATTACATAAACTATACAGATATCAAGGAATCGGACATGATAATGAAGTGGTCCACCAAAAAATTAAAAAAAGGTTTCTCCAGCAAAATGTTTTCCAATCAATAGTAATCAGAAAATGACACCAAAAAAAAACATGGAGTCTTTACTTGTGTTCGCCAAACCTTTTTGCTTCAGGAAGCTATTTTGGTGTTACCACTGCATGGATGTGCTAATGTGTTTACAAGCCAAAGATAGATAGATATCTAAGGTTATTTTATGGGGCGCTAAGCACAAGCCAAAGATAGATATCTAAGGCTATTTATGGGGGGGCAGTTTCTTACATAAAGTATTTCAATGGCTAACATAGAAATATTTAGCTTATATAGTGTTACTTTAAACATTTATCTATTTTTTAAATTACCACAATCACGAGTCCCAACGTTTAAACTGATTCCTCGAGTCATTTCAGGTACCTAAGGAATTATCTGGGTACATTTGGGCCATGGGGTGGACCCTATTGGGTTCAGATATATCTGAAATTGAAAAGAAGGCACCAAGGTTTTCAAATTTCAATCATACACTTGGTTCAGGTAGACTATCAAATGGGTTATATAATTGCTTTACTGTCTCAATCAAATACTACAAAGATATTCTATACGCTTCCCCACACTTGAAGTTGTCAAAAATCAACGCTGCACTATCAAGAACCATAAATATCAGAAAATGCCAACTTACAAGTCCTTTTTCCCTTGCAGCAGCAAATGAACCAGCAGAAACAAAGTCATTGTAAGCAACCTGCAAAGAAGCAAAGTTAACAAACCACTTAAAACTTAAGAAGTTCTTTTTTTTTATAAGTAAAGGGAAAACCATTCAAAAACTTAATAGAAAAAACACTTGGCTAATAACATACTAAGACCAGAAAAATATACCTAGATGACGAATTATTGAAACTGTTTATTTCTGAGGCTCATCTGACCTAAAAATAACTAACGATGACTACTATAGTTCTACGTTAGTTGTGGTTGAGTTTGTTGACAACAAGCTCATCCGAGCTTGGGTGTGCATATGAGGTTGGAAGGTGATGGTCAACTAAGCTGAAATGGTTCCAACATCTAGTTTTTGGCAAGTTTCTAGCCTTCTTAAATATTTCCATGAGCAAAACAACTCCAAGCACTCATAAGATAGTTCCAAACAGTTCCTCACATTCAGCAGCGTGAGTTCCTGGACTACTTGAAATGCAAGAGAAAAGATAACCACGCGATTACACAAACAAAAAAATTAGCAATGTAATGGATCTAAACCTTTAAAGTCACACTAAACAAGTGCAAATCCTATATTATTTGAACTAAGACATCACATTCTGTGGCAAAGAGCCCATTAGACGGCATCCGCGCCCACTTGAAAGCCTTTCACTTTCGCTCTTGGATAGCTATAGCTATGGGGTTTTCCTGGCTTGGACGGGAAGAAATCCATGAGAAGAAAACTACTACTTTTAGAAAACAGACTGACTTAGTTCAACAAAAGGTCTTGACCAACAAAAAGAGCTTTTTCCACCAGTCTTTTAGGCCGGATATTGAGGATTCATATATCCGCTACTATTTTGTTCAAATGGAGATAAGTGGATGCTGAGGATTCATATAACCGACCAATTAGTTTGGATTGAGTCGTATTTGTCGTCATTGGTTGAGCTAAGATCCACCCTATTAGCAGCTACTATTTGAACATCTTTTAGGTATTATTTTATGCACAAACAAGCCCTAACAGCACCAGAATAACATTAAACAAAACTTCTATGTTTGGTAAGGTGGGTAAATCCACAGACTCATAATTCGTAAGTTAAAACCATGTAAGCAAAGTTATATATTTCCAGCCATAAAATAGACTCAATTCTTCAAATTCACTGATAACCACATACGACCTAACAAAACGGTTTGATCAAGCTCCACCTATCTTGTGAAACCTTGCGTTGACTTACTCTATCCATCTAAGGTGACTATTCACAGAAATGGTTACATCCAGTCTTCTAGATCAATCACATTTATGTGTATCCACAGAAATCCAAATTTTACCATTGTCAGCATATCTTCATCGTCTAAACAATGTGAAGCTTTAAGCTCTTGATCTTTATCTTTGCAATGTGTAGAATCTATGTGCATGCCTATTAAATTTTGTCAGAAATATTGACTATATGGTCTTCCTCTTAAGCAAAAACAACGTAACTGATGGATGTCTTGGGACAGTGACCAAAGCATAGTTTACTGTTTCTTACAACATGCCCTACTTTAACATTTTTAAATGATACTCACCGTCTCTGCCCTGATGAANAACATTTTTACATGATACTCACCGTCTCTGCCCTGATGAAGCCCTTTTCAAAATCGGAGTGAATAACCCCAGCTGCTTGGGGCGCAGTCATTCCTGTGTAATCATAATGGTTAGACAAACATGTTTAGTATAAAGGATTGTGAAGCGTTAGATGCCACGTCATCTCTCAAGAGCCTGTCAAATATTCAAATCCGTACCCTATTTAAAAGGAAATTTTACTCTTTTCTAGAAGCACAAGTGACTCAGTTACAAGTCCCCGGTAAAAAAAAAATTTAGAGGAAAAAACAGTTTTACCCCCTCTGTTGCCCATTCCAAATTTGGTCCCTCTATTTTTAAGTACATAAAACCTCCATTTTCTAGTGTGGCACTTCTGATACAACAGTTAACAGAAAATTAAAGGCTGCCTTTCTTTCTCATTTTCACTAAATATTGGTGAAAAATGATAAACAGATAAATATATCTGTACACCTTGAAAGTTGATGTTCGTCAACAACCTCCGCGTGCTAGCTTGCTTCTGTTGCTGGCAGTCGTAGCACAATTACCCTCTCTTTCACCTTCACTATCTTGTTGCATTGCTTTGTTCTATCCATAGTTGAATCTGGTATACAATTTTATCTTATTTAATCTTCAAAATTGACCTGAACAACTATCCCAGAATAATCCTCGAAAAATTGACCCACGACGAGGAAGAGTTCGACATCAAAAGAAAATGAACTAGGGAGAAGAAAACTTCCACGTGGAGGAGCTCGGAAGGGGAAAGGGTGCTGCATATGGTTATTTGCACGAGTACCAAGGAAGAGAAAAAGGCAGAGCATCCAGAGAGGGAGAACAAGTGGGAAGGCTGCTGGTTGGATGGAGAGAAACGAACGAGACTTGCAGAGACAATTTGCGGGGAGGGAGGAGGGAAAAGACAATGGTAGTTAAAAGAAAAGCTAATTTGCCCTTTAAGTAAAGCTACTAAGGACAAGGACACAAGGATATTATATTAAGTTAAGCGCCATTAACATAGGATTAAAACCAAAAACAGGAAAAGTGGATGTTTTATGTGCTTAGTCAGATAAAAGAAATCAAACAAAATTGGAAGTAATATAAGAGAGGGACCAGAGCCGCTTTTTTCCCCTTTAAGAAAAGAATAAACTAGAGCAAATATAGTACAAACCTTCGAGTATGGTCCATGCTTTGGTTTCCTGCAAGTTGCCCGAAAATAAACTCAACACACATAGACTATAGTGACAAAAGCTATGCCAACAATCAAAAGTCACTAAAGCTTTTTTATTTGCTTCACCTTCTCGCCAGAAGTGAAGTATGTACGCAACCCTAGGAGACCATAAGTTTCTCTGATAAGATTTCCTAGGCCACTTTCATCGACACCAAGAGATTTCAAATATTCCATTCTCTCTTCTAAAGGAAGTTCCGATAGCTCCGATTCAACCTGAAATTGGAAGCTCAGAAATATGTAGCAATTGGAAGTAACCCTTGGATGCCAAAAAGATTTTTAAAAGTGCAGAAAGCTAGATTCACTTTACCACATCATAACTCTTACTCGCTGAAGGTGGGAAAAGCGAAAAAGAAAAGGATATGTATAACAAAGAAAACAACTAAATAACTGGTCCTCTCCCTAAAATGGTTTGGTTAAGAGATCTCGATTTCCATGGTCAGTTCATGCTTCTCGCCCCTTCACTCATAGGTAACTGATGTTACATATTCCATATTTCCTTCTGATATTACTTTATCATAAGAGCTTCTAGACTCCTAGCGAGGACCAAAACTATATATGACAATAAAGCAATTTATGATAGTGCAAATAGGATGAAGATCTCCGGTTGAAGTGGAATAAGCCGTGAATTTTGATTCAATACAAAAGGAAAAAGTCTGCTGAAAGATGTCAACAAACCTGCGCTGAAATTGTTACCACGCCAGAATTTAACTCAGAAGCTGTTTTTATTACTTCTTTGACGTGAGGATTATTTTCAGGCTCAGCCACCTCTGATTCCGCTACATTTGCCACAAATATGACAGGCTTCATAGTAAGAAGACAAAGATGCTTAATAGAATCCTTTTCAAACTCTGACAAAGATACTGATCTTGCTGGTTTTCCATCCATTAGTGCTGGTAGTATTTTCTCCAAGGCAGACTTTTCTGCTTCCTCCTGAAAAGAGAATACCAAAAATAAATATCCCAAAGAACACAATTGTAACTTACAACTGGGATGTCAACCAAACAACAGTTAAAATTTTAGAACCTTGCAAGGATGAACTACTCAATCTTCCAGAAATGAAAAGATAGCAGTACCTTTACTTTAGCTTGTGAATCTTTAGCTCTGCCTTTTTTGAGTTTCTCGATTCTTTTCTCAATCTGCATTCTTGTAAAAATGAAACTTAGTGCCATCAGTTGGCTCACATACCCAGAAACGTTACGAGGAGAAAGCAACATTACTGCTAGGAAAGAAAGAAAATATTATCATCCACACCCCTTGTCTTGTGCACATTCTGTTGGCGGCATGCATGCTTCATTGGTACAGAAAAATCTATATATTAATATACACGTTCAGCACTATACTATCATATCATATACGATCAAATCTTTATTTTGTCCATCTTAATAAAAAGATGTACTGCTCATGGGTCTTTATGTCCTCCTTTTCCTCCAAGCTGTCATCCTAACATTCTTCAGCCTGCCTCCGGCATGAGCTATACTCCTAGTTCATGTTGGACAAATGAGGAGACTCGGATAATTGATTGCCTCTTCAATTAAGCAACCAAAGATAAGCGCAATAATTCCAGTCATCCCCATCATTTATTGTTCTATATACTTCTAAATCCTACATTGTCCTATCTGAGCCCAAACAAATAAGTTATATTGCAAATAAACCATCTATATTTTTTAAGTATTTCATTTCACTCTCAACTAAACTCTAGACATCATCTCATGAGGACCTTAAGTACGATAGGAAAAATAGTTCCTTTCCATCTGATGTGCTTAAAAAGGAGAATTATATTCATCCTTTACTGTTTTTGCTTTTTGAAAAATTTATTAGACTCCATAACAGTTAATTTTTTGCTTAACTTTTTGTTCCATTAAATACGTCAGCCATCAATTCAGAAGGCAAATATGTATTACATAGACAAGATGGTCCAAAAGCATGACTTTATGTTTTATTTTCAGGTTGTACTGAAAGGATGAAGGGAAAGTTGTATTTTTAGTCTTTCAAGAATGTCTCAGCTTCTTGATTGCAGATTAAGTGATAAGCTAAAATTTCTGCATAGAGCTTAGTTAAGAAATCATTCCCCTCAACCAAAGATCAAGAAGTTTTCCTGACAGTTTACCGACCCGCATGATACTTACTGAATGTGCATTCTGAAATGTACGAGAATTTGTGAGATGAAACATCCACATCATATGTATTGGTTATATAATTCTAATAGATAACTCAACAACTACATTGCTAGCATTCATCCTACCCGGCAGTACCATTGATAATCTTGTCTTCCTTTATTTTTTCGATCTCTCTTATCATAGTTATGATGTTAATCAGACAAAGAAACTTAGAACTGACACTGACTGCAACAAACAAAGAAAATAAATGACCATACTTATAGTTTCAATAACATTTTAAATCATTAGTACTATGACCCTGTTCTCAAGCAAGATACTATTTTTTTATGACAAACATTCAAACTCGTTTTCTCTAACAGATTTTTATCATTTCTTCATAATACAAATGTTAAAAGTAACCTACATGCAACAATACCAAAGATATCATATTGGCTGTCAGTATAACAGCCAAGAACACCCATTAGTTTTCATGAAAATCAAATGCTATTAACCTCTACCCTTGCAGATCAGAAATTAAGTGATGAATGAACCACTGAACTGATTTCAGAAAGGAATGAAGTTAACAACAATAATGGAAAAAGAGAAGGAAGAAAAAATTTAAATGGATCCCAATGACAACTGTTTTTTTTCCTTAGTTGTTTGGGAGATTTTCATGCAGTTTTTTTCAAGATTATACATTAGCATACCGTACCTGTAAAGCAGAATTGTAACAAATACCTGATCCATGTCTGAGAATACTAATTCCAGGTTGATTACATCAATATCAGATTTTGGATCAACCTTCCCATTCACATGGACAATGTCATTGTCCTCAAAACAACGTACCACCTGAAATAGTACACAAAAGCAGTTCCAGCAAGTGAGGAACAGAAAATGTATGGCGCTGAACTCTTCTAAAATTAACAAGGCAAAGTGTGCTGATGGAACACTTTTCTTCTCTTCACATGCACACAGACTAGGAGTGTAATATAAAAGCAAAGTAAAGCCTTATAACTCAAAGGAGAAAAGAAGGCCTTTGAATGATTTATTTATGATTATTTCCATACTACAAATACATTTGGCATTATTAAGACTAGAAAAGAAAGTAAAAAAGTTTTAAAATGTCTTGACGCTAATTGAGTAAGCACAGATCATTATCAGAAAACAATCTCAAGCTGACCATGGCAATATTAAGTGATCCTTCGAAGGATGCTGCCAGGTGGAACACTTTCCTACTACCTACTTAGGTCTCCCCTTGGGTGATAGACACTGGACAACTGATATCGGGAATGTGATCATTGAAAAGTTAGAGAAAAGATTGGCATCGTGGCAGCAGCAATACCTTTAATGTTTTGGATAGTATAACTACCTATTCTATGTCCCTATTCTCAATCGCAGTCAAAGCGCAAAACAGCTTGACAAACTCAAATGATCTTTCCTATGGGAGGGTAACAGTAAAAAACATAAGTTCCACTTAGTCAAATGGTCCAAAGTTACAATGCCCAAAAACACTTGGGGGGGTTGGGGTTAAAGACCTGGCACTTTACAACAAAAGCATACTTATGAAGTGGCACTGGAGGTATAACCAGGAGGAAGCTGGCTTTTGGAAAGAGATCATCCAAGCAAAGTATGGGACTTCTAGTCACTGGTGCACTAATGTGGTTAGAACACCATATGGAACTGGGTTGTGGAAGAGTATCATGAAACTTTGGGAGGATTTCACAAGAAACACATCACTGCAGGTGGGAAATGGCGTACACATCCAATTCTGGAAGGACAAAAGGTTGGGGCACACTTAGCTAAAGGAGGTCTATCCAAGATTATTCCTAATTGCAACCAATCCAGACTCCACTATTGCTCAAAACAGGGAGGGCAACACATGGAATCTAAACCTAAGAAGGGATCTTAATGAATGGGAGATAGAAGATCTGGCTTCACCTCTTGGAAGCCAGCATAACAGCATAGTCACCAGACATAGAAGAGATAGACTTAAATGGGGCAACAGCAAAGAAGGGACTTACTCAGTCAAAGCAGGCTACTCCCACTTGAGCTTCAATAAAGAAATGATTGATCAATGGCCTTGGGAATTAATCTGAAGAACTAAGTTGCTACCAAAAGTTACCTGCTTTAGCTGGATCACTCATCACTCTAAAGGGTGCTTGCTTAACTAAGGACAATCTCGTCAGGAGAAATTTTCAACTACCTAATAGGTGTAACGTATGCAAGTTTGAGACAATTAACCATTTGTTTCTTCACTGCTCAATTGCAACAGACATGTGGAACATGTTCCTAACTCTTTTGGCCTGCATTGGTCTATGCCATGTAGTGTCAGGGAAGCTTTGGTGAGTTGGTGCTCATGGAAAGTTGAGAAAACCATCAAAAGCATTTGGGCTATGGTTCTTACTTGTATTTTGTGGTGCATATCGACTGAAATGAATCACAGATGCTTTGATGGGGTTTCAACTGCCAATCATTCACTTAAAACCAAATGCTTAGTTAATCTTTTTAGCTGAGTTAATCTTACCCCTGTTTATAACCCTGAATCTTTTTTGGAATTTATCAGCTCCTTAGTCTTATGATAGATCTTTTGGTTGTTATATTTTGGGCTGATACCTTCTGTTTCTTTTGCATCTTCTTGATGCCTTTTGTTAATGATATTTCACTTACTTCCTCAAAAAAAAGGATGTTGCCTGGTGGAAAGGAAATTTGTTCATTTATGGCAGAATACATAATTGGACCCTTAAACTTGGCATTTTTTGTCACTTGGACACCTAAACATAGAGTTGTTCCTATCAGGCCCTTCAACTAAACCACATCTATGCCAATTAGACACTTTGTAGTGACATTATTGAGTGCGAGGGGAAGGGAGCGTGAACATGAGAAAGAGGTTGTTGATTATTATTATATTACTAGATTTAATGTACGTGCGTTGCACGTGTATTATGCGTTATGCACAAAAGAGTGTATCTTAATTAGGTAGAATAAGAATGAATTACGTATAAAGGTAACTGATGTTGCAACAAATATTTAAATGATAAATTGTCTAAAATAGTGCATATTTAATTGAATAAGAATGAATTAAGTATAATAGCAATTGACGATGCAAAAAAATTATTACATTAAAGAAATAGTCGTATTCAGTGTGTAGACACTAAATTGAGTGGTACAACGAAGCTTGGATGTGGTAATGTATATTATCAAAAAATTAATAAGGCGAACAGAAGTAAAATATTATTTGTATATTTAGTGAAAGATTGTTGGATGAAATCTAAATAACTTACCAAAATTTGTTCGATTGGTGCACTTTGATGCCTCATCGAATGAAATAAAATTATTTGAAAAACCAATGGTCGAAAAGTGAGTATTGCTTTCTTCAACTAAAGTATTCTCCTTAAATCCAATCTCAAGCTCCTTGTGCGATGATTGGAAATTAGGATTGGCACTATTGATGCGTTCGTTTATGATGTAACAATCTTATTTTGTTGTAAATAATTTTCCCACTTCTCAATATAACCATTGAAAAGTATAGCGTGAATTTTTGTT